CCGGCCAGGCAACAGTGGGCTATTGCGTTGTGGATGATCGGCTTGTTGGATTTGCTGCTGGGCTCCTTGAAGAGCTTCGGACCTACGGAGCCAGCAGAGACCAAGTCAGTGTCTGAGGTGTGGCACCCACAGGGACAGTCCTGCCATCCGGGCTGAGCCACAGGCGGGCTGAACTGCCGTTGTCTAGATCTTTGCCTGTAAGGGTAAAAGCCACCTCCTAGTCCAGTGACGCAATGTCCACTTATCAACTGGTTAAACAAAGCAGAGGGACCAGCAAGTGGCACCATGGTTGCCAGCGGGACTCCCATGTAGTCAACTGGGATTCGAGTCCCACGCCCAAGCTTAAAACTCACGCCGGGTGGCTGTGCACATGTACAGAAAATTCCAGAAGGGACTGCAGTGTGCCCCCGGGGGTGGGGGATGGGGCTTCTCACTTTCTGTTTCTGTCAAGTGCTCACGCCCTATAGCAAAAATCCCTTTAAAAAAATTAAAACACACACACACATAGCAGACACTGAGGGGATGGGGCTGGGGCCTCCAGCATGGCGTCAGGGAGCTGGATCCAGAGTCTGAGTCCTGGTCCCCGAGGCCTGGAAAACACATGGATGCCCATGCGTGCTCAGAGTATGACAAGGGGAGAGGGGGAAGGGACTGCAACGTGGCCATGCCCACTGGGGGATCGATCTCTCTATGCAAGCGCATGTACCCTGAGTTAATTACAAACAAAATGCTAAAGAAAGTAATAACTCAGTATCTTTCTAATAATTTCAGCTCCCTCATTGTGAAATGATAACAGGAAATACTCCTGCCAACAAGTCTGAGGTCCAAGGAGCCCAGGGCACGCCCCCGCCACGCCCACCCTGCGGGCGGCCAGGAGCAACACTGCCACTCGGCAGGTGCATGGTGGCCGAGCTAGGCTGGGGGCCAGGCAGCCCACGGCACATGCCACAGAGACCACTTTCCACCACGAAAATGCTGCTAGGAAAACGCCTCACAGACCCGCACCGGAAGCGGACAGTGAACAGCGTCGCCCGCGTGCACTCCAACCCTAAGGACACAGCAGCCACCTGTGTACTCGGCCACCGAGGCCAGCGAAGATGCTGCCGACGCAGTTTCCCAGTCGCGGTCTGTGCTCCTGCTGGGGTTGCGGCTCAGGACAGGCAAGGCCTCCATCGACTCGACTCTGCAGACAAGCAGGCAGAGGGTGAGGAGGGCACCCCACAGCCCGCTCTCCCCACACCCCCACATGCCCACATGGCAGCACAGCTGCTTCCTCAGGGCCCTGGCCCCAGGACCAAGCACAGCCACGCAGGGTCCACACAAGAGCAAAGGGGTATGTGGGTGGGGATGCCCAGCCTGTGCAGGAGTGAGGTGAGGGCACAGCCACCGGCCTGGACACCACAGCCGGGCACTGCAAAGCCCCGTGAACACAGCACCATCAGGCACGGTGCCCTCATGCCTCACTCAGCCCAAGCGCAGAACCTCAGGCGGGTGAGGGGAGCCCAGGAGAGAGGCGGCCACGAGACCCCAGAGGGCACACTCGGGACATGGAGGCCAAGCCCACCAGGTGCGATGGCCTGCACCACGGCCTGGGCTGGGGCCACAAGGACAACGGGACAAGGACACTAGGTGGCGTCCACACTCACGAGCATTCGCTCCCCGAAACCGCACTGCATGTGTACATGCGTGGGGCATGGGCGATGGGAGGAAGGGGGCAGGAAACCGCTGTTGCCAAGTCACGCCCGGCTGGCCCTGAGGAAGGCCCGAGTGCCCCGTGAGGTCCAGGCGATGTGGTGGGCCTCTTACCGCTGGGAAGGCGTGCCCCCTGAGTGGACGCTCTCTGGCTCGGTGGTTGTGGCCGAGGCCAAGGACAGGCTGGAGCCCGACTGGGTCCGACTCAGGTTGTCAGCTGCCAGAGACAAGAAGCGGGTGCGGTGTGCAGGGCTGGCTCAGCACGAGCCTGACTCGGCCGTGCAGACCAGCATGGCTGCACCCCTGCCCTGCCCGGGCCCCGCAGCGCCCACAGTCAGAGAGGGCAGAGCACGAAGGGCCGAGGTGCCAGCAGCTGCCACTTACGGGTGGCCGCCTTGGCTCCTGAGTCACCGCCGCACGACTCCTCCCGGTGCACGGACTTGGGCCGCGGCTTCCTGGGCTTGGGCTTGGGCTTGCCGAGCCCCTGCTCCTCCAGCACCTGCTGCTGCTTCCGGCGCAGGTACTCCTGCTTGATGAACTCACGCCGTGCCTTCTCCTCCTCCTTGCGCACCCGGTCTTCCTCCGCTTTGCGCCTGCAGGGAGGCACGTCCCGGCCCCGTCAGAGGGACAGCGCGTGGGAGGGGCTGCGAGTTGCCGCGCTTGACCCGCGCTTGATCCTGGCTTCTCCTACTGGTCCCTGGACTGCGAGGGTCGGGGTCCAGAGCTGGACACCGTGGGCAAAGGGCGGGCCCAGAGTCGAGTTGTGTTAGTAGCCTCCCTTGGGGATGTGCTTCCCCTGCCGCACGCCAGTGACCTCGGCCCCAGTCGCTGTGCAAACGCAGGGGCTGTTCCCGTGTGCTGAGCCCTGCGTGGCCTCCCGAGGGCAGTGGTACAGAGGGCCGCTGTGGGCACCAGAGACGTGGCAGCGAGGCGGCACCAGAAAGGCGCGTGTGGGGCAGAGGCTCACCGTGCCTCGTCGCGCTTGAGCTCCACCTCCGCCTCCAGTTGCTGCTTGCGCATGCGCGCCTCCTCGGCCTTGCGCTGCTGCTTCAAGAGGAAGGCGGCCCGCTTCTTGGCCAGCTCATCTTCGGCTTTCTGCTCGTCCTACAAGACGGACGCACACAGGTGACGGCCCCCCCCCTCCTGCACAGCCGGCACCCGCATGGCGGCTCTGGCCTTTGAGTGTGGACGCACAGAGATGCTTCGTTCTACTCTCTTCCTCGCTGGACTCTGCCACAGGGCGCACGTGCTGTGTTAGGAGAGGGAGGGGCGACCACCCGGGGTGGCTACGTGACTACTCCCTATCCCCCTTCTCCTCCTGGGATTTCAGAAACTCATGGCCATGAGCCTGTCATGTGCAGAAGGTCACGTGGGATCTACCTGCCACCTGCTGGCCTTCTAGTCTTCCCCAAAACTGATGAATGAGCCTCTCTCCATAGGCTCTGAAATACAGTTGGACAAGTAACCATTAAAAGGCCTTCCTAGGCCCCAGAAGATGGCGCAATGGTTACGTCGCTGGGCTCTCACGTAGTCGACTGAGGTTCAAATCCCAGGCCCAGCAACATAAAACTCACAGTGTGTGTGTATGCGTGTGTGCCCAAGATCCTGAGAGGAGAACGGAGGAGAAGGGACTGCGGCGTGGCGACCCACCGGGGGTGATTTCTCCCTTTCTGTCTCTGTCTCTCTGTTTCCAGCAAACACACACGCCCTATAGCAAAAATCCCTCTTGAAAAAAAAAGGCCTTCCCAGGGCCAGCCCTGTAGCCTGGTGTTTAAGGGGGCCAGAGTGCATGTGGTCAACTGCGCAGTTCTAAGCCCAATCCCAGAAGCTTAAAAAACATATCAGACATGTGTAACCCGAACCCTGACAGGATGGAGAAGGGGGGGCTGCGACATGACCTTGCCCGCTGGGGCGTGCCCCACCCCGTGTTTCTCCAGGACCCAAGCGCACTCCTGTGGCGACTTGAAATGGGAGAGGGCCCGTAGTTGGCCGACTTTTCCAATTCCTCATTCCGAATTAAGTTTGCTTAAAAGCTACATGTTTCCAAAATGCAAGTGAAGACCAAAGCTGACTTACAATTTGCTTACATTTTAAAACTACAAACGCCAAATTCGGCATGCGTCTTTGGAGTAACGGATGGCTCTATATGGCACCGCCCACCTTCAGAACCACCACCAGGAAAGGCAGGGAGGAAGGAAGTTCCCCGCCTCCTGTTCTCTCCTAATAAGTTACGAGAGGGAACAGAGAGAAATGGCGTCCAGTGGGGGCTAGAGGGTACTGCAGAGGTGCACCGCGACCCTGCACGCCCACCCGCCCACGGGGCAGGCTCAGGGCACACGCTGCCCCATGCAGGGCCAAGTAGGGCCAGACCTCATTCGATGCTGCCTCTCTCACCCACGGAAGGCAGAAACTTTAAAAACACGCCTTTAGGGTCTCTCTACCTGCTCAGACTTTCTGTACACAGGGTTGGCAAGCCAAGTGTTGGCTGTGGGCCCAGTCTGGCCAACACCAGATCTTGCAGAGGGGGCTCTGGGAGAAATGGTTAATTTTTAAAAAACATTTATTTATCTATCTGTTCTGAGTTTTTTTTTTTTTTTTTTTTTTGAGAGATTTTTGCTATAGGGCACGTGCGCTCGCCAGACAGACAGAGAGAGACATAGAGACAAAAGCGAGAAATCACCACCCAGGGGGGATGGTCACGCCGCAATCCCTTCTCCATTCTCCTCTTGGGATCTTGGGTACGCACGCACACGCGCCCGGCGTGAGTTTTAAGCCACCGGGTCTGGGTCTCGACCCGCAGTCGATTACGTGGGAGTCCAGCGACATAGCCATTACGTTAACTACTGGTTCCCAATCTGTTCTGAGTTTTAAACCACTGGGACTTAAACCATGGTTCCAGTTCCACATGGGAATCCAGCGTCTTAACCATCACGCCACCTGCTGGCCGACTCTTTTCGAACGGTTGGAAAACATCAAAAACCAGATGGTCTGCGATGCTGGAAAACGGCTCAAGCCTCAGCGCCAGGGTGCACAGAAAGGGCTCCTGGCACACGGCTCGGGCGACGGTCTCGCGGGAAGGGGAAGTGCGGATGCCTGCTCTGCTCTAGGTGGCTCTGGACACCCTCGGTCACGGTGAAGCCGCGCCTGAGTGGCCAGGCCACTGCTGCTTACCTTGAAGAAGAAGCCAACCCCGGGCTTCTGGTCACCGTCGTTGACGAGCTCTGCCGAGCCGTCGGGGGCAGCGGTCTCCCCGTCCTCGTCGGGCGCCCGCAGGCCCGAGAGGTCGACCTCGATGAGGCCGGCCTTGCCCCGCAGTGGCTCCTCCGCAGGCGCCTGCGCACGGCCCAGCCCCGCCTCCTTCCCTCGGGTCTCTGGCGCATCCCTGGAGCCCCTCTGCTCCGCCAGGACGTTCGTGTCCCTGCCGGGGGCTGGTGCGGGGGTCCGCTGGTTGCTCTCATCATGCAGTCTGCAGCTGTCCAGAAGGGTCTTCTCAGGAGGCTCCCCGCCAGGGGCCGCGGGGCTCTCCCAGCCTGGGTCCGAGGGCGTCCGAGGGTGGCCCCCCAGGGGGAGAGGCCGCGAGGGTGGCAGGGTCTCCACACTGGGGGTCGGGGTCTTACTTCGGGAGGAGCCCTGCTGCCTGTCTTTGGGGACCTTCAGCTCAGCCGGCCTTCCTGAGCGGGAATTGCGGCCCTGGCCCAGGCGCGGGGGCTTGCGCTGGCCTGGCCCTGCAGTCGGGGAGAGCGGCTCGACCAAGTGAACGGTCGCCTTCCCTTTCTGGTCCTGGGGGCTGTTCCGAGACGCAGGGGCAGGCGCGCCCGGGGACGCCATGAGCAGCTGCTCCTGCTGCTGCGAGATCTTCAGGATGGCCTGCTGCAGCGTGCTGATGGTCTCGCTGAGCTTCTCGATGGAGAGGTCGCACTCGCGCACGTCGGCCTCGCCCGCGCCGTCCTCCAGCAGCGCTCTGCCCCTCTCCACCTCGAGGGCGGGGTCGCGCGGCTTGTGCAGGTGCAGGACGGCCAGGCTCTCCTTGTCCATGTCCCGAGGCTCGCTCAGGAGGCCCGCTCGCTGCTCATCCTTCACAAGGAGCTCCCCGGTCTTGAGAACCCCCTCCCCAAAGCCCTCTCCGTTGTGCTGTGCGTACTCCTTTGGGAGGTGCTCCGGCCTAAGAGGCTGCGCGGCCCCGTCAGCCCTGCCCTTCTTCACCACATGCAGGAAGGCCGCCTTCCCCAGCTGCAGGCGCTGCCGGGCTGACAGGGCCTCCATCTTCTTCTTCTGCGCCTCGATGGCCCTGCGCTTCTCCTCCAGCTGCATGTGCAGCTGCGCCAGCTCAGAGGCCAGCAGGCTGGCGGGATCTTTGCCGTGCCTGCCGGGGCTCTGCTCCCGCTTCTGCCTCCACGTGGTCAGGGGGGCCGGGCAGCTCTCCGACGCATCTGGCGTGGTCTTCTGGGAGCTGCTGGTGCTGGACCTGGTCTCGCAGCTGTTGAGCCTCAGGAGCTTCCTCTCCGCGAAGCTGGTCATCTTCACGCTCCCGCTGGCCATGGACACGCTGCTCATCTGCGAGGTGGTGCTCAGGCAGGGGCTCCCCC